ATCTGAGGTAACCTGGACTCCCACATCTTCTTAGGTCAGAAAGACTTTCTTCCCCCCTAAATACATCCCCAAAAGTGAAACCAGCACTAAATAAATAGATGTCTAAATGCAAGAACTGCCTTAAAAGAGTACATTCAAATAATAAATATATTAGCCTGAAATTAATTCAAATTCAAACATCTCCTTGCCAATGCTCCCAAAGTTACCCCTCATGAAAATGTATTATTACTTTTGTCCAAGTTACCTTGAGGATTCTGTAGTTGTTTCATAAGTTCACTCAAGTTATCCTTTGAACCAGGCAAATCCATTTTATTAATGGCAAGAAGTGCAGGCTTTCTTAGAAGTTCTTCTTTGTACAGTTCCAGTTCCTTAAAAGACAAGTGAATTTGACTTGGTATTTGTAGTTTAACAAATACTAGTTCAATTTTACACCTTGTCTCTTAATTGTTTGTCTAAAGAGTCCTCATGGGTAAGCACCTGTGAGGTGCACTGAGGTGCTCAAAGTTGGTGTATGAAAGTTATTTGTCAGAGGAAAACACTTCTAACAAACATTCAGTGATGGCTTTCTCAAATTCAGATGTTTCAGGTAAGCAGTCTGGACAGTTCTGAAACATCCTCCTGCAAAAGGATGACAGTTTTATTCTTTTATTTTCCTGATATTTATACAAGCTCATATACAAAATCAATTTGTTCAGAAAAAGTTCAGGCTTACTAGCAAAGCCTTTGGACAGTTTCCAATTCTTAAGCATTTTCATGGACAATGCTTTATACTGGGCATAAAAGCACTAGCATGAAGCAGCTAAACATAAGTACATAGGGGAAGACTCATTATACAAAGTCAGAAGAAAAAAAAGAAGAGTTATTAAACAAATAGTTTTCATGACAAAAGGAAATGAAGTTTGCAAACCTTGCGCCTAGCAGCCCATCTGTGCCTCCATCTCTCTTAGAATATGCAGTAAGGGCATGAAGGCAGGGACTTAACTATATCCCTGCCATTTCTACTTTCTAAAAGACCACCAAACTGCAGTGAAAAGGTGTGGTGTTTTTTTTTTTTTTTTTTTTTTTTTTTTTTAAATAAACCTTAGCTTGACTGTAAGAAGTATCTTCTTTCAGATGCTGCAGTTTATACAAAGCAAAACAGTTCCAACAGGAACAATAAAATAGAAGTTTCATAATTCCAGGTAATTTTGAACTTGTTAACTGGCCTCATAAATCCAGCAATCACATTAAGATTTGAAACTTCTTAATCAAACCTGTATAATTGCCCCTTTAGGCTCAAGAAGAACTACAACCAACAACGAGGAAAATGAGAAGTACCTTTGTTAGAAGCAGTATAGTTTCAAAGGCTGTTCTGAAATGAGTCTTGTTAGACAGTTGAAACCCAGATACATCAACCTGAAAAAGTTAAACAACAACAAGCTCTGCAGTTTATGTCACAGTATCAGGGTACTCTGCATCAACTACTCTGCAATAAAATGTCCAGGAGTACGCCCTAATTGCTAAGCAAACAACAAAGCATTTATCCACCAAAATAGAAATCACGCATGCTGTCGACAAAAAGTGACTGGTTTCGGCAGCATGTTCCTTAAGGTGTTGGTTTCTAAACCTCTTTTGTGAGGGTATCTAATTGCTTAAAAAAAAAACAACACTTGCCTTATTTATGTTTGGAACACTTCCCAGATGTAAATTACTTGGCAAACTTGAAAATAAATTCTATTTAAGGACTGAATTTATCATCAAGTTATTCAAGCTTTCCATTCTAAAAACAACATTGTACATTCACTTATCCTGAAACATGCAATTGCAAACGTGATTTTCCAAATATACTTCAATTAAAATATACTTAATGCACTGCCTTTGATTTCACTAAGCTCTAAGTTTTATTTCACTTACAACCAAGAGAAGCTGTTTCGTTCTTTCTATATGTTTGAGAAATTTGTGGCCCATTCCTCTGTTTGCATGTGCACCTTCAATCAGTCCCGGCAGATCAGCTACTGAAATCTAAGAAAAGAGAATTTTCAAATAAAAGCAAAATTAGGCAAAAATGGTGAGTTTGGACTATCAATATGTACTATGATTTTATACAGACAAGCGAACTCGGGACAGAGAAGTGTTAGAAATGTACCTACTTTGAGACTTCCTTTACGAGTACATATTCCTTGGAATAGCAGAGGAGAGCAGTTTTCCAGCAGCCTGCATTGGCCATTTCAATACATTTAAAATCTGTTATCAGGTTTAAAGGAAATGCTACTATTACAGAGAAACTGCAATCCTCATCTTCATCTATTCATTTATAGCTATTTGTCAACTAGCAAATAAAGGATAATAATACCTCAGTAAAGATCTTCAAAAAGTTACTTGCTACCCGAGAATAAATCAGATTCTGGAGAGCAGGCAGATTAAGGTTATCAAGTCATACAGAAATCAAACCGTCACAGGAAAAGAAAATGGAAGTCTGATCTTTGTAGCTACAAAGATTCATTTTACCAAATGCAAACCAATGTAACGTTGCTCCCCTAAACACAAACAACTCCAAGACTTTCTCTTCTCCTCTTAAACTGCAATTAGATTGAGTGGTACACCAGCTGTCAACCAGAGACCAGCAGGGACTGTCAAAACAGACCAAGATCTGTCATTTTCTCTACTGACTGGGAGAGCTGTCCACATCACCGAGGGACAGTTAAGACAGGTGGAAGAACAGCAGGATAATAGTAAAAAACTCAAACTCTATTCAGTAACTCGAAAAAAGCTATCACAAGGGACAAAGAAAGGCTTCAAAGCTGGGCTCAAAGCCAGCACACAATAAAATTTCCGCTTTGCTATCTACTGTAGGATGGAGCCTTCTGGTGGACCAATGCTCCCTATCTTGCTGGCGAGTTTCACTCCCACTCACCTGCCATGGTGCTCACTACCTTGTGAACATTATGCTTTTCTTATGCATTTCAAGCTTTGCCTCTGAATTTTTGACTTACAGAGATTTGAGATTCCAGTGGGCGAATCACAGACTTGCAACAAGAAACAAGCTAGAGACTTGGAACAGGGGCAACCACCTGCAGGTGTGATGTGTTTGGGTGGTGTATAAAACCACCACCACCACCACCACCTTTAGCAGTCTTTCAAAGAACATTTTTTTTTTTAACAGAGCTTATAAATAAACTCAGATTCTCTCAAAGCAGCATGCTGTTCACATATTTTGGCAGAAGAAAGAAAAGGTTCTGCCAGTTTCTACAATCCAGTGGAAGATCTAAGCTAAGATCTGAGCTCAAACTCCTATTTGGATCTTCTACTTTTGTGTCTTTGTATCTCAATTTCCTCCCTGCCCCAAGTACCAGACTCAAAAGGCAACAGGTACCTTGCATCTGTTTTGTCCTTCATAACACACTATGATGAAACAAACCAATTGCTACACATTTTCTTACATATTTCAATGTCTAATAGGGGGAAAAAAAAAGGTAGTTAGGAATAAGGAATAGGAATAAGTACATGAGCCTGTTGAGGGAGGGAGAGGATAGTCGCTTTAATTACTGCTTTGAATTGTTCTTTTGTTGCTGCTTTCAGAGTAGCCAGACTGAGATCTGAAATACCCCATTGGTCACAGATGCTTACTTCAATGACAGCCACTACCTCCCTTGACTTAGAATAGTGCTTACAGTTTTCATTCAGCACCTAACACTGTGGTATAAAAACAATGAACTCCAGAATCAGCCAGCAGCAAAAGGTGACGTCAGACTGCGGAAAGGAAAGCGGGAGTGAGAGCAGTTTTCCTGCAGGAATATCCTATTCCACCAGCACAGGCGACAGTTTCTGACTCCCTGCAGGGACTTTTCCAAAGGCTATAAACAAACCTGTTATTTGCAGTATAGTTTTCCAGAATAAGTTACTCTTAACTAGGGAATAAAATGGGTTATGAAATTTTTCCCTTTGATGCTTAGAAAAAGACATACCTCCTTTATTACACAATTTGTTAAAATACTTTGAACAATATTACAACTGTTTCAAAGGATTCAATTGCTAATTTATTCATCTTATTGCTTAGTAAACAGTACTCCAAATAAAGTCCAGCCAACAAAAATGAGATTATTTTTTACGATCAAACAATAGCTAAAAAAAATCAAATTAAATAAGTCTCTTGAAATTTTCAAATCTTCTTTAAAAAAAACTTCTCCAGGATTCTGCATTTCTGTACTTGCTCAGTATTTTTCTGATGTCTGTAAATCTTAATTTAAAGCATGTGTGTAATGAGATAATATTTTAACATATCATCATAGACAAATCAATGTTACTTGCTTTGCTAAAACAAAACAAAAGATATGTGTATACATCTAGCTGTTATTTCCCATGGGAAAAAAGTACTTAATTCTCATGAAACTGCAGCGCGCTACTCACTCTTATAATCCTCTGCTCTGTAAAATAAGGTGGGTGCTAATTTTCATCTGTAATCGTCTGGTAAGTAATAAGTAACGTTAAGAATCCCAGAGCATTATGTTTCGTATTTGTACCAGCTAATTCTATTTTAATATACTCAAAAGACAGGTAGTAAAAAAACGGACTATATAAGCATTAGATAAAATTAACAAATACCACGGCTGCTCAAAAATTAAGTGCTGAGATACCAAATTCTGCATTTTAAGTTCTCTGAACCTTTAACTGTGACCCAAAGCACCATTTGCAGGGAATATGGGGAAAAGGAAGCTCGATACAAAGAAATAACAGTATGGACTTCTTTGCCTAATTTGAATAAATGCAGATTTCAAGCACCAGCTACTCAATCCCCTAAGATTATTGATTCTGAAGAGGAAAAGAGTTTCCTCCCTTTTATATCTGAAGCATGCTTTTTGTTAACTCATCTGCCACCCTTTTATGCATTTGCCTTTTATCTTGGAAGCAATGAGCTCATACATACTTTAAAAAAAATACATCAAAGAAGCTTGAAGAATCAAGATGTTTACTGTAGCTCTATATAAACCTGGGGCCCAATTCTGCATCAAAATCTACTTGCAAGAAAACTGTCACAGTCTCACTTTGGGTTGAGCAAATTCTCCTCCCCAGCCCAGCGGATACTGCCAAAAGGGTTCCACGCACCACAGAACTATGTCCTGCTTTTACCAGAAGAACCTGGTTAGAGCTGGCTTGACAAAAACCAAGGCAGTGGGGCAGGAAGTACCACCAGCCTTCCTGAGCTGCCGCCTATAGCATATGGAACCGGATCCAGGTACTGCACTATCCTGGCTGCTAGGGCAATCACCCTCAGTCTGTATCATTTTACTTTTTTTTAACTAAAAAAAATAAATAAAAGTATATTAAATATGTGCACATGATATATACGTATCAGAAAAAATACAAGCAGGAAGTTTCCTTTTTTCTTTCTGAAAGGGTGTTAAACAACATAACATGCCATTATATGCACTTATAACGAACAACAAAAATGAACATTCATACCAACCTGCTTATAATCTGCATACATGATCTTTCCCAGTTCAGGCTTTATTGTTGTAACTATAGAAAGGGAGAGAGGAAAGGAAAAGGATACTGAAACAGCAAGTTACCTCTTTTAAGTATTTCTAGAATTTAAGAATTTGTACAACATTTTAGCATATAATACGGTTATTTCCAGTTTTCTATTATAAACCTGCAAACCAAGACATAGAAAATACTTTTTACTCTTATGAAATGCTACTGCAGTAAAAACAAGAATATAAGCTTACATGCATAATCTGCAATCTGAGGCTTGGCATGAGAGACTTTGCTTAGTAGAGATGACTTTCCTGCATTTGGAAACCTAGAAGGAAAGTGAGCATTGATATGGTAAATAAATAATTATGTGATATCTCTGTATCTTATTACCAAATATACTTTATGCAACCTCATTGCTACAGGCTTATTTCCATGAAGACTTTTTTTTTTTTTGGGGGGGGGGGCAAACACAAATCATTAAGATTTGTGGGTTTTAATAAGTTCTGAGCCATTTTTCATTTTTATGAATACTACAATGCTTCCCAGGGCTGCAGGCAGGCAAGGTATACAAGCATATTTGCACCTAGAACAGACTTGAGAAATCTTTCAAAGTCACATGGAAAGAAAAGCAGCATTCTGTATTCCTGTTTTCATTCTCCACCTGCCATTGCTAATTTTCTAAATAAAACATACCTGTGAAACCCCAAAAGCTGGTTGGTGAGACCTGACTTTTGCAATTCCTTCCTTTATAAGAATCAGCTATACCTGATACTATACTAAACTACTATACTATAGGTATACCTATACTAAAGAAAACAGCAAACAACAACAACAAAGTCCCTTAACAGAAGCAGTATCTTTCACAAAAATAAATAAATAAAAAGTAATCCAGGGAGTATAACTATTTGCTGAAACAGAAACATAAGTTACAACTGAAAATTTTATAGGTTAAGCTGAGTTGTGAAAGACACAGAAGCCTTGATCAATACAAAACCGCAAGCTAATATTCTAGGCAGAGTAGGGACTAGAGTCCCGCTTCAAAGCCATCTGTCACAAACTGGAAACCACACTGGACTTCTGTTCAAGTTCCATTGACAGTCGGTTACTGCACATTTCCTTACCAGTGACCAAAGAAATCTGTGTCAATGGGCAACTGGGTATAGAAAGGCACATGTCACTGAAAAGGCGACACACACATAAAGCTAATGCTCTGCTTTTCAATATATACACTAGTAACAACCTGTTAACAGAACAGCTAATGAGAACATGAGCTAATGAAAAAAAAACAAGATCAATCTTACATTAAGGGGCTTTACTTTTCATCAAGAAAGAGATCTAATGACTCTTTTTATAGCAGAAAAATTACTGAGGGTAATTTTAATGCCCTCTGATCTTGAAAGATGCCTTAAAGGCATTTTGGAAGGTTACTCTTGTCATATCCTCAGGCAAACATTTTGCTCCCAGTGACGCACAATATACTCTTTGAAGTTTAGATTGCAACCTATACTATGCATCACAACCTGTACCCAAACCTGATGACCCTTTCTCAAGCCTACAGGTTTTTTTTTAAGCACTTATAATCTTCTGAAATAATAAAAACAAACTCAAAGAGATCAAAGTACAACAACAAAGTACCAGAGATTGATTCATACTCTCCAAAGGAAAATAAGATTCTCCTCTAATTAATTGATAATGACTTTTTCCATGCTTTTTACAGTGAAAATGTCAGCTAAAATACAAACCAAACTACAGGACTAAAGAGGCAGTCGTAAGCAGTTTTATAATAATGTTATATAGCTCCACGATTTTTCAGAAGCTCCAAAGGCAGAAAAATTTTGCATAAAAAGTACTGAAGACATTTTGAAAATGACAGAATTTCATATGAATCTGATATTAACAGAGCTGTTAATCTATTTCTAATAAAGAAATAAGAATCTTTTAGCTAGCAAATCATGCTGTCTTCAAGTCTCCATGCTTTAAGGGTATAATACTTAGAAAAGCATATACCAGTTAAGATTTTTTTTCCTTCTAGAATAGCTTTTCTCATTTTATGCTTTTCAGAGCTTTCGTAAATAAAGAACAGAGGGGAAAAACACATTAATTGATGCTATATAAACCAACACTTTACAGTTTTAGTTTGTTAAAAGCTTTCTCAAAAAAAAAAGTTTTACTATTAATCACCAACACTGAAAAGCACCAAAGCAAAACTAATGGAATTTCTTCAGTTCTAGTTTGTAATTACTTCCTTCCAATGTTCCATCCTGTTCATTTGGGAGGGCTGACTACCTGTCCTTTGAATTTTTTATGAATAGCACTACCAAAAAGATCCACTTGTGCCAGTAGCATGAAGTGGGAGCTGCAATATGGGTAGCATCTTGACTTTATTTTGCACCTCCTACTTACTTCATAAATACTGGTTAAACATTATGATAATCACTTCAACTGCTAAACTCAATAATTTTGTTTAATGACCCTGATGCAAGAAACCAAACAAATCCACAAAAGTGTAACCAATATTTGCCAAATTTTAATACTGATTTGAATCAATTTTAATGGTGCTTAAACAGTATTTGATTTTTGTAAGCTGCATGTAATTTAAGCACCAAGACAAACCTACACTGACACTCATTCCCCAAACTGTAGAATTCCTTGGCAACCTTGTTTGAAATTTTCTACTTCATTTTCTGACATCTCAACTCTCAAACTTCAATACACAGTTACAGTACTTACCCAACTAAGCCTACATCTGCTATAAGTTTTAAGTCAAGATGAACAATTCGCTTCTGACCCTTGCAAGGCAGGAAGTTTGTGGCCAAAGAGCCTCCGAGACCTCCTCGAGCTACCAGGCACCTCTCTCCTGCTGTATTAAGCTCTCCTGAAAATAAATTCATTAATGAAAAAGCATGATTCCCCACAATAATTCAGTACTGATTCTCCCACTTAAATGTGTCTCCCTTATTGAAGGGAGAATTCTCATTAAGATTCCCTGAAAGACCTGTGCACTGATGGGTTAACAGAGTCCCTTCTTTGCTTCAAAACAAATAAGACCAAACATACACCAAATTCTATACCAGAAGGGAAAGTATTATTAATGTCAGGAAGAATGGCTAAGTACAGACAGGCAAAGCATGGCTAAGATGACAGTTCTGAAGCTTCCAATACAATCCAAAATTAAATTTGAAGGTATTTTTCAATAGTTGTAGTTATTGACAGCAGTTTTGATTCAAAAATAAAAATAAAAAATGCACCTTGAATTACAGATATGTAATTCTTACACACATCACACATACACAAGACTCAGATGTTCCACATTTTTCCATTAAGATCTACCATGGCCTCTTAGATTAAGTTTTTTTTTTTAAAAAAAAAAACACAGTATTTGTTTATGTAATATGATATCTACTTTACCTATGTACCTATAACATATTTTGCCATTAGCTAAGCATGTAGAGCCATTTGTGACTTCAGTTAGAACTCTGGGTAGTGTGAGTAGAAACACTGAGAAACTGTGAAGAAACTATGGAGAGGTATTTCAAGATCCCTCTTTTCAAAGGGATCGTCCAAGTTAACACCAAACACTTTCAAAAAAACAGATTATAAACATTTTACATAACCTGAAATGCTGACATACAAAAAGGATCTTGATCTTTTTAAAGCAATTTTCTACTTCAGTAAAGTTAGAGGGTCACTTGACTTGGTTCATGGACACCTGATTTATGCAGGGTCATTAATGGGGACTCTGTACAACTTCCAACCTTTCACACTTGCTGGTAAAGAAATTCTCTTTCTGCTGAATATAGCAATGCAAATTAATTACCCCTAGTTTCTCAAAGAGGAACTTTCTTTTTCAGCAACTGCTGCAGTGTAATTTTTGTCAGTATTGATTTGCCCAAGAAAAGCAAAAAGAAATATCTATATTTTGGGGCATATGTAATTCTAAGATGCTGTGTTTCAGAAGCGTGAGAAGTTTGCTAGATGCCATCAATAAATACAACAGTATCTACTAGACACACTGAAAGAACCCCAGAAGTGCTTACCGATCTGCTTTCCATCTTCACAGAGGACTGAAACCCCCAGGGGCACATGGACTTCGCAGTCTTGTCCTTTTTCACCTTTGAGCGCTCGAACGCTGGGAGAAGTTAAAGAACGCCGAGTGACTCCGGTGGCTTTTCGCTCCCTGGCAGCGAGGCAGCTGGGGGCCCTCGCCGAGCGCGTCCTCACCTGCTGTTGGCGCCGCTGCCCGCGACGAAGCGCTTGTGGGGATGGCGCTGCTTGATGCCCTTGAGCGTGGCGCGCTCCTGCGCCACGAGCCACACGTCGCCGCCGCGACCGCCCTCGCCGCCGAGGCGCGGGTAGCCCATGCCGCCGCTGCCGCCCCGCACGTAGAGCCGCAGGGCGTCGATGAAGCCGCCGTACTGAGGGAACAGCGCGTCTCACGTGAGCGGGGCGTGCGCTTCGGCATTTCTATTTGCCTTACACAGCTGCTAAAAACGAAGCGGTCAACACCGCCTGCAAGGCTCTTTTACGCAGAAGTGTTGGCAAACAAGAGGGAAGCAAGCTCGGGAAGCAGACACCCAACCCTCCTCAACGTGACTTTTACAGTTCTTTTAACGGGGGAGGCATTCACCACTCCGCCGCACTCCCAGGCCCGGCCCGCACACAGGCCCGGGCAGGAGGGCCTGCGGCCTT